GGATTGACAAATAGATTAATACCTGGCAGCTATGGCTGAAACTGGGTACCTCTGAATGAGCAATCATTTATCACTAAATTACTTTCTCTAAGCCAGGTAATTTCTGATCAACATGCACAAAAACAAAGACACAGCAGTGATGTGATGTTAACCAGAGGCCATTCCCACTCCCTGGGCTGGTGCAGCAATGAATGCAGAGAGAATTGTCACTTGAATGGTTTATGAAGCTTAATGAAAAGTGACATTGCAGGATGCTCGGGATGGAGGGGACCACAAGGCTAGGTCTAGTTTGTCCGGGAATGAGTGCCACATGCAGAGAGGGATGTATGACTGGAATAATTCTCACTCAGGAGCCAGCAATACTGACAGAGCCAGTGCTGGGACAGGGTGGGAGAGCGTTGGCTACAGAGAGGGGACTGAAGTGCATGAACTGTGTGTTAGCCACATTTTTTATTGGAAACAGATGTAGCCCCATACCGTGAGTTTTTAGTGTAAAAAGGGTGATGAGAGGTGAGGTGTGACTGAAGCAGAATCACAGAGCATGATACGTTTGGAAGCGTCGGTTGTTTAAAGCTCAGAGTAGGGATTCAAATCCAAAAGTTTTGGTGTGGAAAGACTTGATGTTGTTTCTGTCTCTGTAGCAAACTAGACTAAGAGCCAAGTCCAAGCCTTGTCAAAATCTGGGGCATTCAGTTCTGACACGGTAATTCCTGAAAAGAATGTCTTTTACATTTAATGAATTTTAAATGTGCTGCATGTCTTCAGGGGTCTTTAAAATTCAGAGAAGTTAGAAGAGGCTCCTCACCTCAAGGAACAGGGCCTAGTGGAAAGGAAGAGCAAGGGCATTTCTGCTTGCCGAGGGAAGCTATGGCCAAGTTCTTATAGGGTAACATAGCTAAAGCTATGCCAAGCACCTTCAATAAGGCAAGTGTGTAATATATCCCTCTGACCAGGCAAGGTTAACTTTATTGTGCCTCATAAGGATTCTGTAATTGATGTGCATGCATACTTTTAGTCTGTGCATGAGTGTCAATGCAAAGTTAAGACGCTCCTCATTAACCTGCTGAGCTTTCCCTCTCAGCACCTCAGGGATTGCTAGGCAAGGCACCATGGGCAACTTGACAGATACCTTTTCCCTGGTACTTCATACCTTTTCTAGTATTTCCCAACTAATAACAGGGAAGAGAAGAGCTGCTAAGATTTGTAAGGTTTGTTTCTTGACAAATGTCTCAGTTTCACAGGCAGTTGAACTGAACTACAGCTTGTGCTCCATTCAAATATGTCAATAAACATTATTGCAAAGATGTACAAACAATAACGGGAATGAATAAAACTCACCTTTATTTCTTTTTGCTATGAATTTACACAATGCTCCAAACAGCTTTTACTCCTCTAGAGGAAAGCCTTGGGATTATGCCTTTACTGGAATGCTGTTTTCCCCAGTTTAGCCCTTTGCTCCTTTCTCTGCATCCCCACCATGAGTGCTGGGGATGGGAGCACTGCAGCAGAGGTACAAATACGTGTCTGAAGTTTCAGTCAGACTCAGTTAAAAGCTGAAGAGGTAAAGTTGCCACTCTCTAGGATAAGCTGCTCTATATGTTATTGCCCGTCCTTTGCTTGGTCACGCAATGCCAGGGAGCAAATTACATTCGACAGTGCGGTGGAAGGGAACAGCTCAATTCCCCTCTAGCTGTAGCTTCCAGAGTATGGGAGTTGTATTTCTACACATAGCAATGGAGGCTGCTCACTGCACTCCTGCAACTCTTTCACTGATGGCAGCTAAGGTATTATGTGAACAAGGCACAGTCAAGGTCTTCGTCAGTGGTTCAACACTGGTTTGCCTGTAGTGACAGGTGCTCAGCAGTACTCTTTTAGTGTAAAAGCTTCTTGGAGGTCACAGGGGTAAAACACATTTCTGTGGCAGAAACAGGCTAAGAAGAAACACAGATGTGTGCAACAGCTTCCCAAACTGAGTTTCTTGGTAACTGGGAAGTGTAGATCAAGAAAAAATGGCAATGCACAAACACAATATACAAGCCTGAGAGTTGTTGCAGAAAAGGGACTGGTGGTTTATGCTACTACTCCTGAGAGCTGATGTCTCTGCTCTAGCCTAATAATTCTTTTCCTTCCTCTCTGGGGTTCAGTGAGTGCCCCTTGCCTTGTACCTTGTATAACAACTGCATCAGGGACTGCAGTTTTGCTCTGACTTCACACGGGACCAGGCACAAAAGTTTCTTGGTCTCACCGTGTATTCTCCATTTCCTGTATTGTACCACCCAGTGCTGCAGCAGAGCTGCACCAGTGCTCAGCACAAACAGTGTACTCTTGCTGCTTTATCCTTCTGTTCTCTGTTTTCTGCCTGGGAAGATTCTTCTGCTGGAGTGCCAGCTCCCATGGGCGAGAGGACAGCTGAGTATTAGAGGTCTGGGAAGTAGAAGTTGCATGAGGCAGCTGCCTTTTCCCCTCCATCGCCTGGCTCACCCAAGAGCATGGTTCTTCTCCTCTTCCTGGGCTTCTGCCCAACTCTCCCAGCTTTGTGCCAGCAGGCAGGCTGTTCGTTTGGTGCCAGCTGCTGTTCACAGAGTTCTTGCCATGCTTTATTGCTTGTGGCACCGATGCTCTCGTAACACAACCAGTGGCTGGGCTCTACCCGTGCTTCCTGGTGGCTTGCTGTCCTGCAGTGCTGGCTCTGCCTGCCAGCAGGCAAGACCCTGAGAGCATTTTAATATCATTAGCTCTCCAATGGTTGCTGCCCTCCTGCTTTCCCTTGTGCTGTGCTGCCCACCCAGACACATTTGATGCCCAGACACTCATGGGCTGGCCAGACTCTCTGCGAAGCCTCTGCCACTCTTGACCTAGGGCAACACAAGGCTTTAGGCCAACTAGTCTTCTCTAACAGGCTCTGAAATTTGGATCCTTGACCCCCTTCTTCCATGCCAAGAAGCTTTTCCCATTGTAGCTTGGAGCAATAAGAGTGAACTTTGAGGCTGATCATGTAGCCACTAGGTGTCCTCAGTAATGGTGTCCAGCAAACTTGACTCCGTTTTCCCAGTCTCTCCCCGTGACTGCAGCAGTGTTCATGCCTTGCCCCTTTTTCATATCTCTTTGCTCACCTAAGGTATCATGTTTTTTGGTGGGGAGGACTGGGGTGCCTCTGAGACGTCATCATGAAGTAGTATCAATCCAGGCTATAAAGCAAAAGAAGAGCTGAGGGAAAGCTGCAAAACTCCCGTGAGGTGATATGCTTTGTGCTTGGATCCCAAGGCATGTTTGCTCAGACCTAGGTACTGAGATGGCAGTCATCATTTTTGTTTGATTTTCCTTGGGGTGGAATGCATGGCGGGCTGACCTACCCATCACAGTTGCATTTTCTCTGGCTAGCCAGACTATTCCTAAGTATTCTTCATTTAATCCCTGCCAAAAATATTTTTGTCTCTCTGTGGCTCTAGCAGCTCCTGCTTGTTATAGCCTGAGGAAAGAGCTCTCCACTTGGCTGCCCTTGCCTCTGCCTGACGTATGGGGAGGCGGTGCAGGATGTTGTTGGGGCTCATGCTCTTTTTTTTTTCTTCAGGGCTCTTCTGTACATCTGTCAGAGTGTTTTGATTTTCTTTACAGACAGTAAAGTCCCAGGTAGCAGCACCACAATTTTCCTAGTTAGTTGAAGAATTCTCTTTGTGTTGGAGGCAGGTCCATGCCCTGTAGCTCTCCTAGGACTTTTCTGAGGCATCTCTGGGAGCATTTGGGCTTTCTCTGGAGACAGATGAATTCCCAACTAGGCCCCCCCAACTTCTGTGGAGTGGCTACCTGAGGAGCTTTGTGGTTGTTGGCGAAAGGCCTATGCCTATAGCTGCTTCAGACTCTTCCCAGGCAGCTCTAGAATGTTTTGGCCTTCCCTAAAGATGGTGGAATTTCACAGATAGTAGCCACAGACTCCTTCAAAGAACACATTCAAGGAGTTTTGACAATGTTGGAGATATTTTTAGGTAGGGCAGAAATATAAACAGCTAGCAGTTCTCAATGACAAGAGAGAGCTTAGCCTCCCTGGCCTGTTTGCCTTCTCTCTCCCCTCTGGTTTGCTTTTGCTCCAGGTTTTGGAGAAGAGAATGGGACTTGCCGGAACTGACCTCTTGATGGTGGGAGGGTGCTGGCTCTCACAGGTGTGGGAGGAGCAGTGCTGAGGTGCGTAGGGCCAGGAGAAGCAACAGTGGGCGGCTTGGAGGGATTGATGGGGATTCTGCAGCCTTAGGAGGATGGGACCAGTCACCAAGGAGTGCCTTAGGCAGTCTCTTCAGCAGGGTCCAAAGCGCCTCAGCCCTGCAGTTTGAGGACAGTGGGTATTGTTAAATTCTTATAAATTATAGTAGCAATAGGTAAGGGAGATCAAAGTGTTCAAAACCAAGTAAATAATCACAAAAATGGGGATTTTAAAATTTATTTTCAAACCTAACCTCAGTATTGCTGGTACTTGCACAAGTCCAGTAGACTGACTGTATTCCAGCCATTCCCAGCATCCTGAGTTTCAGGCCATCTAGATACAACTTAGAGTAGCTGTGAAGTTGCTGCATTGACCCATTGAATGGGTGTAGAAAATGTGAAAGTGTTGTGATCTCCAATTTCATGAGGAGGTGCCTTGTCATCTGACAATCGCATCTTAAGCACAACAAAATCCTTCAGAGGGGGTATGATGGCTAAGAGAGGGATGGCAGTGGTTGAAAAAGATTGCATCAAGTGGATGGAGTGTCTAAAAATTTGTGGAAATAACTGCAAAGTAGCTGACTTGACCCTTGCTCTTTCCGGTGCAGGGAAAGAGATCACAATCAGAAAGCAGAATAAGGCACAAAGCCCCTGTTTTCATGTCTTCAAAAACTTTGGGTTCTCAAAGTATTGTTGGAAAAAAAGCCAGTTCCTGTGACAGCTGAGAGTGGGTTGGCACTTCTTTGCTCACTGAAATCACACCATCTATATAAAAAAGGGTAAGAAATTTCTTCTTCCCCAAACAGATTTGCTTTTGTTCACATCTGCACTGTGGTTTGAAGTCTGGAAGATACTGAGAGAAGAGCTATAAGTGTGAGACAGGCCTTTTCATGTTCATGGCATTGTAGATATCTAGATATGGGTATCTGACCCTTCCTCTGCTTTTTTAGCCTACGTGTTATATGGGGTGGGAGAAATAGGAAGTAAGTAAAAGCTTTTTCTTTAAAAGTGGATGTTAATCAAATAAGCAGCTGCTGGGTTAAGATATCTCATATTTTCAAAAACTAGACAACCCTGCTTTGTTGCAGCTGCTGGCACTGCTCTGGGACTTAACTTCTAATATTTATGTTGAAAATAAGTCAATTTGGTATCTACGCAGTGAGAAATCCATCATGTTATTAAAATATGGTGTAGCCCTAGAAAAGTATCTATTCGATAAAATCCAGCACGTGTCTAACAAGTTGGGAAGGAGTGGAAGCACAGGTGGAGATAGATGTGGAGGCTGGGGAGTGTATTTGAAGGAGGGTGTAAAGACACTTTTTATAAAAGAGGTTGTGTCAGGGCAAAAAGAAGAATTTGCAGAAAGAAAACACAAGGAAGATAACTTTGAAAGCAGAGAAGGGGAAAAAGGTAATAAAGAGTAAGACCAAAGATGGAGTCTGGAGTAGAGGAAGAGCTTTGTCTGAGTAGGAAAAAGAAGAAAACTATATATGGAAGAAAAAAGCCTGACATCTGAGCACCGAGCTCATGAAAAAGACAGGATCAGTACCTGCAAAGGATCTCGGAGTCATAGGAGATGAATTAAACATGATCCTGAAGGGGCCAGAATCTCTGAGCAGTGTAGAAAAATGAGTCTGCAAAAGAATTCCTGAGCTCTGAGTGAATGTGGTGGCCAGACTCATATGTAGACATCTTGGCTTTGCTTTTGTATGGAAAGTGCTCAGCACGCCCATGCAACTGTTGTATGAATAAACTAGGCAAGAGAAAAGGATAGGAAAGTTAGGGAGTAAAGGATACACATACATGAGAGAAAGAAGCACATTACTTTTTTTAAAGGGTAGAATTGTTTTAGGGGGAAGCCACCAGTGCTTTTCTGTTACATTGGCTGGGTTTTATTCCTGTCTCTGCCATAGACTGGCTTTGTGATCCCATGTAAGTCCCTTCACCTCTCTGACATCTGTTTTTTTTTTTTTATTTGTGCCTTTGGATGATGATAAAAACATGCTCCAAGCACAGGTGAGGAGGTTAAATATTCACTGCCCTTCTCCCCCATCAACTTACTGTTATTATCATCATCATCGTCATCATCATCTTTTACAGGTGAAACAGTGACATGTCCCAGTCTTCAGAGAACAACATGGTCAAAGAAGCAAGTGACTGCACTCTTAGCCCCTTCCCATTCCCCCCTTGCTATTAAACCTGAGGGTCTCAGAATCCTTGCATCACTGCCTGGAAGGCAGCAGTGTTGAAGGTGAGGAGGGGTGTAGCCCGCTAAGGCTGTCTGCAGGGCCTTCTTACTCAGGTATAGCTGCTGACAGCTATACTGCTATTTATTTATTTGGCTGCTGAGGACAGAAACAGCAGGAGATAATCATAAGAAAATCATAAAAAAGAGGGAAAACCAGCAGATAATATTCTGCCGAGGGATTTAACGGGGTGAAAAATTGTCTCTTGCCGAACTGTCTGTGACACTAAACGCTGTCTATGAGATCTTCACTCTTCCTCCTCAACAGAGGCTTAAGGAAAGCGACAGGCAAGGCTCTGAGCCAGCATCTGGGGGTTTTGAAAATATGACAGGCAGAAGCCTGGGTTTTTCTCATCAGCATCTTTCAGTGGCATGGATGCAATCAGTCATTCCGTCTTGTACTCTCTGAACAGGACCGTCCCCTCCTCCTGCCACAATGAGTTGAGGGGAGGACACTCAGGAAATGCCACTCTACTTCCTATACCCTAGTCTTTCAATGGAGATGAATTTTTTTCCTGTGCTGCAAGAGCATGGTCAAATAGCTGGAAAGGCTGTAGGCAGCTTGCTGCTGCTTTAGGAGGCAGGAGTTCCAAAACTAATCCTGAGCTTGTGGTGACAATATGACATTGACAAAGTTGGACCTGCTTGAACAGAGGTGGTGGATGAGATTTAATTCAAACAGGGTGGATCTCACCCACTGAAGCTGGCTTTGTTGAATTCCCCCTGCCATACTGAAAGCTCCCTTTGACAAGCAGAGGTTGAAGCTTGGGAAGTGTTCCTGTGCCACTGTTGTGCTGATTGTGGTGTCATAGTATGATGTGAACTTTATGGTTTTCCAAGCTATGAAGACAGGGTAGGGCAGCTGTCTGGATCTGGCTAAGATGGGAAGGGTTCAACTCATTCTCTAGGGTTGGCTGTGCAGACTGAATCAAAAAGCAAACCCCAACTTTTTGTTTTACATTCAAATACAAGAAACTGAATGTCAGACTCGGAAAATCTGTGTTTGATTCTCATCTCTGCTAGAGGCTTCAAGTTTAGGTTTGAGGAATCGATTGAATCTTGTTTCCCTTTTTCAAATGAGCACAGTCATTCTTTCTTGACTCTCAGGAAGGGTGGTGAGTAGAAATTCACATGCAAGGTTCCCAGGTAGGATGTTGCTAGTGGAGGTCTTGTAAATCCATAGTTAAAATTTCTGGGAAGAAATCACAGATGGAAAAGCACTCTGAGCTCTCACTTAACTGCTCCCTCTCCTTACAGGGCTCTTTCTTAAATGCTGTTACTGCCTGTATACATCCCAAGCAGTCAGATTTCTCTTAATAGCCTTAATTGATCTGCTGGAGTATAGGAGATCACACATCAAGCTGAGCATTGTGCCTCAGTCCTAAACCAATTTACTATTTCTCTTACTTTCTAATTCTTCTTCTTCTTTCCAAGGAAAACCCAATGTAAGTGCAAAGCTTGACTGTAAAGCAGTCAAACGATGAGAGGAGGATGTTCTTCCAGAGTGTAGTAGAGGCAGCATCTTCATAAGACAAACCCCAAAGACATATCAGAAAGCTCGTAGGGGCTGAATCTAGTTTGAACCCCACATGCAAACAACCTTCCTTTCCAAGAGGGTTTAGTTCGTTCTGTGGGGTGTTACTGTTTCCCAGTGCAATATTTTTGCATTTGAACTAACATAGGTGCAAGTTCTTTTGTTTCTTCCTGGAAGGGCTGAGATTTAATTCAAAGAAAGATCTCCTTTTACAACCAGGGATTAAAGCACTCCATTGAGGTCTGCTCCACTAAAGTAGCACTTTAATCAGTAAAACATGAGTATAGAGGCTCTTTAACTACATAAATCACAGTCCCTTGGTGTTAAGGGCTTGCTTCACACATGGGGATGTAGGGAGATGCAGCAGTACAGCATCTCCTGACTTCTGTATGTGTATGAATGGGGAGGGGAAGCCACTTGTAGAATTTTTGAAGGTTTAGTGAATACGAAACTGGGTTAAAGGCATGCCACGATCCTTTTAGTTCTGCCGAGACAGCCATCAGGTGCAAGGGTTCTATCTTCCTGTCTTGGACCAAGCAGTTCACTAGATTGCAGGCAAAGAAGCTTAGTAAACACAGGCTGAAAACACTTTTTTCAAGAAGATTTGAAGCCTGAGGTCTTGATCTTCCAGCCATTAGATTGTATCCATATGGGTGACAGGAAGAATATTGTAAAGGAGTGTGTTTCCAAACTGAAGCGAGTTTACAGTTCTCCACTAAAGCATGATGTCTTTTGGATGTCCGTCCTGCCCAAAAATGTTGAGCTGTTTGTAATCTATATCCTTTTGTAAAGATGGAAATTGTTCTCTCAGTGATAATTACTCCATAAAAGAACTAGATAGGATGTAGCTGAGAGAAAATATTTCTTCTCATGCTTATGGCAACACAGTTCATTTTGGTATCTATGATCAAACAATTCAGTGACAAAGCTATTCAGCAAAATGACGTCCTTTCACTGAGATATTTTGCATGGACTGTGCAACATCTCCAAACCCAGTATGTGTCGGCACTCAGACAAGCAATTCTCAGCTTCCTCCCAGACAACCGTGCTGCCTTTAGACAGCTTTGGGGAAGCATGGAAAAAATCCTTTCTATTCAAAGTTCTGAAGTGTTGACCGGCAGGAGGTTCACTGCTGATAGACTCCCTTGGCAGTGAAAGACATCATAAATTACCCCAAATGACCTGCATTTCAGAAACATTATTTACAGTATTAAAAAAGAAAAGGCAGATCAGGACAATAAGATCGCAGGAAGTCCTCAGGGAAACTTTTAGAAATACTGCTGCCAAACCCCCTCAGAGTTGCCAGTGTGACCTGTTGTTGCTGGGAAGCCTTGTTCTGGCCACTCTTTGTACCCAGAACATGCTCTGGCATCGCTCTTTACAGAGACAAACAGAGAAGGATGGGGGGGCACAGCGGGCTTGGGAACACTCGCTGTTTACATGGAAACAGTGGTGTTAGGATCAGGAAGTATAGGGCCACCATACGGCTGCTTTCCCAATAGCTTTCTCTGACAATAAGAGCCTCTGTCCTGCCATTGCCCCCTCATTACAGCATCTTGGGTGTGCTAGCAGAATGCTTTTTGAGCTACTGAATTGCAGTCACAGTGTCAATATACTGTTGGTGTAGGGGGCACGGTAGGTTTTTGTGACAGGGCCAGTATATCCCCATTTTGTTGGAGTCTTTCCAGCTGTGCTGAGGTAGTTCTCTTCAAGGGAACCACTGCTCCATTCACCTGTGCCATGTGCTGATGTAAAGAAGACACAGAGACCTTGCTTCTGGAGTTACCTTGTCTTCACTTATCCCTTAAACACCCTTTTGTTCCTGTTACCTATGTTTTTCCCACCACTCCCTGGTCTGCTCCTGGGGCTCAGATGGAAGGAGACCATGAGGTCTTTGGGACGTCACTTCTGTGGTGTGCCTGTCTGCAGCAGAACACAAGGTGGGCATCGGGAATGGTTCAGGACTATAGATCAGCCACAACACAAGTGAAGTCAACAAGCTATGGCAGCAATTGTAAGGGCTTATTGCTTTCCCCTTTATTTCCATGTGGGATGGTAAATATAAGCTGCCACTGACAGGACTTTCATTTTGATTTAACCAAATGAAAATGAATACTTTTTAATGGAGGATTTTCTTGATTGAGTTAACAACCTCCTCCTAGTTCACTGCTCTCAGCACCAAACTGTCACCCATTCGTCCCTTCACATCTGTCCCACCCCCATCCTCAGTGTGACTCATGTTATCAGATGTCTGTTGCAAGGGCCTGGTTTGCAGTCAGTCAATGTCCCAGCGGGCTGAGCATCTGAGCTCCTCCCATGTCAGGGTTTAAAACTGCCATTTCCATCTCCCAAAACTTATCATCAGTGCGAGGCACCAAGAGGTGCAAGTTACTTCAGAAAACTGCATTCATGGTGATTTATCCATGTTTACACAGAGATCCTTGGGCAGCACTAGCAAAAAAATACAAATCTCCTGGCTTCCACTGTATGGATTCATTTTTCTGCCTATACCATCTGGCTTTTTGTGTCAAACACATATATAGTGAGTGTGACAGTGACAAGAGGACAATGATTTCCTCATTAAGGGGCGGAAAGCAGAAAGGAGGCAGAATCCAGCAAGCCTGTGAATTTTCAGAGCCATCAGGTCCATTTGGGATGGAGGAACAGTGTGTTTGAGTTTGTCAGAGCAGGGCTGTCACAGGGATCAGAGGCTGTCCTTGGTGGCCTGTCACCAGTGAGTGATTATTGCTTTCTCTCACCTGTGTCCCAAACTTCATCTCTCACGGCCGATGCTTTCCCCTCTCTATATTCCCTTCACACGCCAGCACTCAGCCAGCAAGCAGAGAGGCAGAGAGTGAGCGCGAGAGCTGGCAGGGAGTCAATATATTTCAGTGTTTTATTACTACAGAGCTGAAGTAGCATTTAGTTGGTTAGGCTCCGCACAGAGTGAGCAGTCTAAGTGACTCAGATATCGGGGCCAACAATTAAAGGCACAACAAAAAATCCATGGATTAATTAGCAGGTCAATGGTGGTTGAGTAGTTATTGCTAAATTACAAGGTTTGCATGTAGGAGACAGGATTGATCACTGGTGTCTGCCGGTTCCTCTGGCTGCGTGTTAGAGATGTGGGTCAGTGGGGGTAGGTTCCCATTGATTGCATGAAAGTGAAGGGGGTCAAGAAAAGTGGGGGAGGGGACTGTTCAAGGTTTATCACCCCCCTTGCACAAGGATGCACATTGTGCCTGTTTAACAGAGGTTCAAAATTAATTGATACCATCTGGCAGGCAGCTCTCTTCCTGCTGCAGCTCTGTGAGGCTGTAGGGATGGGAGAGGGGGGTGAGCCCAGGGAGGAGGATGAATGATATGGTGAGCATCCATAGAGGTGTCCCCTCTCAGCATCAAGGGAAAAGGGTGTGTCTGGAGTGAAAGGGTATCATGACCAATGACAAGGTTTTGAAAAATGCTGAAAGGG